GGTTGATCCTGGGAAGCTGGTGGTAGAACTTGCTCCGATGGAAATCCGTACTTTTGTCATTGACTTTGATTATCTGAGAATGTTTCATGCTTGAAACAGGCAATGTCCGTCTCCTCCTATACTATTGTCCTACTGGTGATATCAATGTGCTGTTGTTTGTAATATAGTGCTATATGGTATTAGCAAAAGGAGAGTTGTATACATGTAACAAGCCTTTCATGTCCTTTAGAATGTCCCAATGGTGATGAGCTTGATCTTTATATTATAAATCTCAAATTCAAATTTTGAAATAAACAAAAAAAAATTGTTGAAAAAAAATTGTTATTTTTTATTGTATAACTTATTATGTGATGTAAGATTAAAAAAAGGCCTTTTTCATAGTCTCTTTTCTATGTAATGAATCTTTGTTGGCGTTGTCCTCCTTCCGGTGTCATTAGATTTGCTTAAATTTCTGTTTGATTTGTTAATGTTGCTCTCCCTTTTGATGTGGAGATGTTATGTTATGAGATAAATTTGGAACACAACCAACCAATATCTCAAAAAAAAAGAAAAGAAAAGAAAGGGTATTGTACTCCTAATAATAAATTGATAATAATAATATATATATTCTTTGAAAATAGGCAATGGAATGGAAGGATAATAATAATAGTGTCAAAAAGATTTTTATTTTTGATGATAGGAACAGGATTGACTATGGCGATTGAAATTTCAGCATTATTAATTAATATAATAATAAAAATAGAGTACAGTAGGCTTTTGATAACTTAATTTTTATCTTTATCTGACCTAATTTAATAATTTGATAAAATAATATTAAACCGTTTCATTGAGTGGTAGAGGTAGATTAGCAGTTAGCTGCTCACACTTACATTTCTGAATTGTGAATTCTGATTCCTAAGTCTGTCTCTCTTCTTCCACAAATTGACAGGCTTTTTTTGCAAAGTTGCGACCTTGCAACTACTATGTCTCGTCTCTCTCTCATGACACCTGTTCTGTAACTCAGTAAATGTAAACCCTTCCTTATCATCACTTGCCTCAAACAAAGTTTGCTGCTTTCTGAGAATCTCAGAACCCACGC